GGGGGGGGGGGGGGGGGGGGGGGGGGGGGGGGGTGGGGGGGGGGGGGGGTGGGGTAAGGGGTAAATAACATGATTTCGAGCTTTTGAAAATGCAAATTAGAACAATGGAATAATATAGTAAGCTAAAACAAAAGATGAATTAGCCTATACTTTATCTCATGCGCACTCATCATCCTTCTCGTTATCATGCATCGATTTTAGTACAAGTCCGGTTTGGTTCCTAGTTGAATTTTTATAATACTGAAGTAAAAAGACCATCTTTTTCAACTTAAATCAATACTTGACAGTTCAATGTTAGTTACTTCAAATTTTCCAAAAATCTTGAATAATTTTAATCCTTGCCTAGCATATAAATGTTCATTTGTTTATCTTTGTGCAGGCCTTTGGGGGATCCAGCCTACTTGTCTTGGAATCAAAATTCTGCAGCGCGCTGAGTATTTTTAATATATCTCTGATTCTAATAGGCCATTTCATTAATATATTAAGGGAAATTTGGTACGTCGAATTAGGGAAAAAGCAATATATGGCCTCCGGTTCAGAGTAAGTTATGGACTAAATTCAAATAAATTATTTACTAATTTTTTATTATATTAGAGAAGGCGGTATGTGGTCCCTGTCATGATATTCTAAGACAGGAATTGAATGGCACATACTCTCAACTCTTTCCCTGTTTACTTAATTGACTATGTTCCCTTTTTATAAATTTAGAAATAATGTAGAGAATGAATAATATGAAAACTAAGAATAAAAGAATGCAAGGAAAACAAAATTCAACTCGAGCGGACAAGGCTACCACATGATATAGTCATTTGTATCGAACAAAACATAATATAACAGCAGAGAATAAACAATATAGTCATTTGTACCTCGTGCGGGTTCACCTATAGCGTGATTCATCGTCAACCTAAACAAACCCAGACTCGTCCAAAACAATTTACACATCTAGTCACAATTCATATTTGACTTATCATGACATTGTCCCCCAAATTCAACTCAATTTACACTTCTAGTTTTCATGTATATTTGGCTCAAACCCCTTGTAAGCGGGCAAAAACTCGATTTAAGTTGTCTTATTCAATCTAATCTAATTTATTAAGTCAATGTTTGGTACAAATTAAAATATGGTTTTAATCTCAAGTCAAATTCAACAATTAATTTTAACCACATATTTCATTGGATCCACAACTTTTCAACAACACGTTCCATCAACTTTTATTAAAATCTACTAAAGAAGTGATTTTAATCTACGACAAACCGGGGCTAAATGTCTCGACCTAAGTTCATAGAGATACCATATGCAAAGTCAAAAGTGATTGCTTGGAGTTGGAGGTGAGGGGGTTTAACTCCCTGCCAACTCGCCAACAAACCTCACCTTCTTCTGTTCAACGAACATTGAATATATTTATAAATTATTCAGTGGGTTATCTATTCATTTACAGAACTTGAACCCACGTATACATGTCTGATCTTTATAAATCTACGTCTCATCTTGCATTTCTGAAGCTATGGCAATGGATAAGCTGCTTATAATTTCTGGACTTGTGCTTATAGAGTATGCGTTAACATGTGGAGCAACGCAGTATGTGGTGGGTGATAACTCCGGCTGGGATATTAGTACTGATCTTGATACCTGGGCAAAGGACAAGAGGTTCACTGTTGGTGATGATTTACGTAAGTACTTCTTAATCGTCAAATTATAAGTTTGTCGGAACCATCTGATTTGAACGTTCAAATAAGCTGCTTGTATGTCATGGTTCTTTATTTTTGTATCAAAATAAGTAACTTTTTACTTGAAAAAATAAGAGAACAAAATGACATATTCAAACTTATAAGTAACTTTTACTTAACTTTGGGCTTTGTCAAACGTGCTCCAAGTTCATTTACACGGAAAATTGTGCATGTACAATTGAACTTGCTGATTGTGAAACGAAATTTCACTGTGTCATATGATAAATCTCATATTGAATAAACACAAAATAAATAATCAACATATAAAACGAAGATTACCCTTTTTTAATAAGATTGACATTTTGAGATGGAACCCAAAAACTTTACCAGATGTGATGGTTTAACACATTAAATCGACAATTTTCTTGGTTTTGTAGTATTTCAATATTCATCGTCTCACTCGGTGAGCGAAGTGACGAAACAAAATTACAAGGGGTGCAACACGACCAATGTACTACAATCGGGTAGTAATGGGAACACATCGTTTGCTTTGTCAAGTCCAGGAGACAGATACTTTATTTGTGGAAACAGGCTACATTGCTACGCAGGAATGAAGATTCATGTAAACGTAGAAAAAGATGAGGGTGCAGGATCACCGATTGAGGCACCCAAGGCACGGCCAGGCACAACTCTTCCACCTCCGTCTTCTAAGAGCAACAAACCTGATATTCCGAGCTCAGCATTTTCCAACCACGTCGGAATAGATTGTGTGTTGTTATCGCTTTTAGGATTCTTGTTCATCTTGTTTAGTGTGAAGTAATTAATTTGAGCTTTATTTTCTGTAATTGTTTTGAAATGCTTTTGTAGCCATGTTCTTGGATTCAAGCCTTTTTGGCAAGTGTATGGATTGTCTTTTGAATTACACAAAGAAATGGTATGGTATGATTCATGGCATTGTATTAAAAAAATGAAATTCAAATAAAGTGCTTATTAAAATTTAAGTGATTCGTTTGCTGCTGCAAATTGAAATTTAGTCATTCAATTGCAGTTGGTTGATCTCGATGCAATTAACAAATTTCTGGAAATGACACTATAATGTAGCAAGTTCACGTGATTGATCATGTACGTTATCGTTTATTTTAGTTACCGACTAAAGATTAAGCTCCTGTTTGATTTTGATTAAAAAACAATTTTTAATAGGTTTTGAAAGTTAATAAAACGTGTGACTGAAAAGTTGATCAAAGTCGTGATGAAATTTATAATTTAAAATGAGTTGAAAGAAATGGGAGCCAACAAAGAACCGAGCCCCCTATTTGACCCCCATTATCTAACACTCATGCTTTCCCAAACTAATTATCAATCACACATATAATAGGATTTATTGACCTCAATATTTAGCGAACAAGTGACCAACAAAATTCCAGCCACCTCCCTTTCACGTAGGGATTACCTGCGCACTAGAACACCCCGTTGGAGGCAAAGGTCATCAGCCGATAAAAATCTTCAACGATCGTTTGTACTAAGATTAGACAACATTACCTTGTGTGAAATGGTCTCATCTATATAAAGGGAAGAAAATGGGTTAAGATGGGTCGTTGAATCAGGTCGAAGTACAAGAGCATGTTGCTCAATATAATAGGCTCAATTCAATTGACAAAGCCAATTGTTGAGTCAGGCGCGCGCATACACAATAGTCCCCTAAATCTGAATCGCACAAGTTTCATAATTTTTATTAATTTTTTAATTACACTTTTAATTATTTTTTATCAAAATTTACTAAAAAAAATTAATTTTAATCTAAAACCAAACATCGGCCAAGTGTTACATTGTTGATGGATACATAGCCGTATGTTATTATTCCATTTAAATTAACGATTCTACTACAAGTACATTGAGGGGTACATTTATGGACACCCGGCACTCCCCTATTGGATGAAGTGCTGATGGTCATTAAACTAATCTCCTTGTACAAAGAGATTGTACATGGAGCTATACAGGGAGAAAAATGGTTAAATGATTTTGTTGTTTATACATAAAAATGGTATATAAGGGATTGCATAAATGATGTGTAAGGAAAAAATTGAATGAAAAAGTTGACTGTATTTTAAACAGACAAATGGTAGAGTGTATGTGTCATTATGCAATTTCTTATGTAAACTTTTATGGACATGTAGCAAGATCCTTATCGAATCAAAATTGTTTTTTTGACCCAATCCCAAGGAATTAATGATTATGATACAAGTACATAATTTATTTACATAAGGCTATCTATGTAAACTTCTTGTATACGTCCCATTATTCATGAATTAACATCACATATCTCCCTATAAAGCTATCTATGTAAACTTCTTGTACACGTAGCATCTTTCTCTATTTAAAGAAAAAAAGAACCACACGTCATATCAACCCCATATTCTCTCTAATTTTTATTCGGCTTATTCCCATTGTATAGAAATTGACCAGAAGTGAGATAAACAGTGGCCCCCATCGTGTATTAAAAAGATAAAAGAGATAATTGCAGCAAAAGTTTCAAACCTTTGAAATATTAGCAGACTTTATCCAAAATTTTGATTTGTTGCAACCGTCACCCCTAACCTTTTCAAACCTTGCAGGTCAGACCCTTTTGGATGTTTCCGTCCATAATTTCGTTAGTTGACCAAAAATTTAACTTTAATCACATTTTTAATATTTTAAGAAGGGGCAAAAGAGTAATTTTCATCTATCACATTAAATAATTAAATAAGAAATAAATGTCTTCTTCCTCTACCTCCAACCACCGGTTGCATTTTCAAATTTTTTGAAATCCTCGAACATCACTTTCTACGCATTCCAACAATACATCACATATACACAATCTAACAAAGAGAGAGCATATATACAGATACTTCTATTCCGACCAACATTGTGTGAACCAAAACAATAACTTGACATATGAAGTATGATTGAAATAAAACCTGAGCCCAAATCGCGGATTCGTAAAAAAATTATAAATATTCAATGGACTGTGAGAAAATGAGGTTTGCAAGATGCGGGTTCTCATCCATTAACACTGCAAAACTGTTGAAAAATGAAATTTTTTACTATGGGTCCATCAATTCGAGTATCAAAATTACTTACTCAATATGTATAGGATAGTGAAGTCGAGGGTCAGGAGAGAGGATTATGGACTCCAATTGCTTCGAGTGATACTTTATCAAGAACCTGGCCGGTGCTTTTCTGGGCCCACTTTTATCCTTCATCACAATCGGTGAGCGCTAGGGAGAGAGAAGGCGTTGGAAGAAGAAAGAGGGAGTGGAGGTGCGTTTGGGCATGAACGAATATATACATCAGGGTTAATTTCACCGACGGTTATTGTACTTCCACCGATGGTTGGAGGTAGAGGAAGAAAGTAAAATGTTTGAATGGTCACTGAACTTTAACACGGTCACGATTTACTCACTGAACTTCAAATTGTCTCTTACTGATCACTGAACTTTCTGCCATTGCACCGCATCCAACACTCACCAAATTCTGTTACCATCGAAGCTGNCTCCAACCACCGGTTGCATTTTCAAATTTTTTGAAATCCTCGAACATCACTTTCTACGCATTCCAACAATACATCACATACACAATCTAACAAAAAGAGAGCATATATACAGATACTTCTATTCCGACCAACATTGTGTGAACCAAAACAATTACTGGACATATGAAGTATGATTGAAATAAAACCTGAGCCCAAATCGCGGATTCGTAAAAAAATTATAAATATTCAATGGAGTGTGAGAAAATGAGGTTTGCAAGATGCGGGTTCTCATCCATTAACACTGCAAAACTGTTGAAAAATGAAGGCCTTGTTCTCTTTGCTGTTTTGGGACCGTTTTCTGTTTTCGATTTTTCAAAACAGTGGAGACACGTTCTCTTTCTCGTTTTCAAAAACGAATTTNCACGTTCTCTTTCTCGTTTTCAAAAACGAATTTTCGAAAAAAAAAAAAAAAATTGCCTGAAAACTGAAAACGTCAAAATAGACGTTTTGTGTGTTTTCAGGCAAAACAAGGCAAAATTCTAAAAACACGGAAAATGCCCCCTTTCACATTAGAGAGCCAGAAGAACCCAACGCCAGAAGAATTGCAACCGCCGCCTTCTTCCTCAACAATCGACCACCACCGATCACTGAGAACGCCATACCCCACTACCATTCGAACCCCCTCACCTCCATCTTCAATCTGTTGTCATCACATGGCCATGGAGTTGCCAAAAACAGCCTCCGGTATGCGAAATAAAGAAGAATCATCTTAAAGTTGGGCTCAAGGGTCAGCCTCCGGTTATTAATGTAGGTGTCCTGTCCTGTCTTCCTATCAATTCATATTCATCCCGCTGTCATTGTTTGTCAAGGTCGACTACCGCTTATGGAGCTTAGGTTTGTTTGTTTTTTCCCTATTGCACACAACTATCTGCATTGGTTATGTACCTTAACTATGTATCGGAGTAGTATGATCTTTTCCTTATTGATATCGCGAATTGGGCAGCCTGCAAACTGGTAATATGATGTTTACTAGATTTGGTATAATGTCGGTGAGTTTATGAAAGATATGAAATAGATTCACAACTATTGCTTCACTTCTTGCAGGGGATCAAAAAGCTATCTCTATCCTCCTAACCAAAGCACAACAAGATGGAATGGTGAACCTGAAAGGTGAGCTAGAGATTGATACCCAGAAAGCTGAACCTGAAAGCAACGAAATCACGGATCTGGTCCCGGAAAAGGCATTCAATAGTGGAAAAGATGACGGTAAAATATGCATCTTATACTCCATTCAATTTATTTTCGAGATCCCTGCCAACCTGCCCTATTGCATTTGTTGTGGAGGATTGGATAGTACTTGACAATACAAAAGAAGACAAAAGAGCTAAATTGTTGCTCATTATATACAGCCCAATATTTAGTACTAAATTGAAGTTAAAGATACTTCATCAGGTCAGAATTGTAGAATGTAAACGTTAAAATGGCTTGGTGTTCTTTCAAATGTTTTGAAAGCTGTCATAATTGATGGGAAATTATAATTATGATGGTGCTATAGGACCGCTGACCAAGAAAGACTAAGCGTGCTTGTTCTTTTTATCTATTTTTATCTTTGTTATCTATTCAGAATTGTTAATGTGTTTTCCTTGAAATGCTGCGTGCAGTTTGATCGACGACAGAAATCCATGGGCCTTCCGACTAGTGATGAGATGCAATAACAAGAACTTCTGAAGAAATTTATGGCTGAGGTTAAATTTGAGAAAGCACTTCCACTTCTTCAGTTTCCTTACACGTGGACATGTTTTGAGCTAATTGTACATTGATCGATCTAATACCTTTATTCTTGCAGCATCCAGAAATGGACTTCTCAGGGTTTAAGATTTGCCGACGAGGTGGGGAGCTTTATGGAAAAATCTTGGAGGATAGAACAACTTGTGTCCGACTTATATTTGGTCATTTCTGGTCGACCCCTTCTGTCGAAATAATGTGCTCACAATCTTGATGGTACGGGCTATGGTGTGAAAACTTGGTCGACCTCTTCAACACAACATTTTTTATTTCCTTTAGCTGCCCTGGAAAACATTTCAGATTTAAGCAATATTCTGTTGTCTATTGATTCTTACATAGTTTATAAACAGCAATTTTGAAACGATGAGGATGAATATCATATGATTTTACGTTAAGATACTACTCGAATGTAAATTTCTCACGACACGTGATTTAAATTTGCTTTTAAACGATATTACGGATCAACTACTTTCATAAATTAAACAAGTTTAACTTGTATCATTTTAGATATATCGCCTCTTGTAATTTTTTATAATTACATAGTTCGGAAATGGTTTCCTTGTCTGAAATTAAATAGTTCG